GAAGAACACAAAGAGGTACATGGCTCCCTCGAAGAAGGTCGACGTCAGGCCTAATGACAGGATTCGCATATCGGCCAGAATCATCTGGATGCCGCTCTTGACCTCGGCGAGTGATGTTGTTGCCGGGCCATGCTGCTTTGTTCCGTAGTTCTCGCTCCACCCCTTCAAGATCAACCACATGGCCGCCCCGGAGCAGACCACACTTGCCATGAAAGGCCAGACGCGGCCACCCAGCGAGTTGACCAAGATGTCACCAACGACGCCAGACAGGATTGCAACGATGGAGCTGATGGTGGTCATGTTGCCAAAGATGGAGCCTAGTTTGAGGTTCGTCCGCGAAAGACCACGCTGGTTGTATTCCGTAATCAGCCAGGCCTCGAACACACTGTACAGAAGTGTCGTCGAAACACCGCCGGCGAATCGGCCGAGAAATAGGATGAAGAGGTTGTCGGTAAGCATCGTCAGGCAGGTGAGGATGTAGGTAGCGCAGTACGTAAGGCAGGCAAGGCGGCGGCCGTATCGATCTGCCAGCTCGCCGGCAAAGGACGCGGAAATGGCGCCAGACACGAAGCCTGCAGCGTAAAGAGCAGCCACGACCCTCTCGGGGATGTTCTTCTCGTATCTGTAGATGGCATAGATATGGGGGCCCTGTCCCTATGTTAGTCTGATTGATTCCATGATAGTAGTCGCACGGCGCATTACCTGGAGCCAATCCGCTGCCATTGCCAGGGCGTAGACCGGGAAGAAGTCCAGCTGGAATTGGCGGACTGCATTTTGAGATTCGACGGGCGAAGAGAGCAGTTGCTGATGCTCGACATCTCCTCCGTCGGAACCCTCCTCCGAGTCGGCAGCCTCCTGCTTCAGCTCCTCGATGACTTCTTGTTCCTGGCGCTTGTACTGCTGATAGAGCAGATACCCGTTTCCCGCCGCAAAAACGGCCAGATTTATCTGGTAGAAAGCCATTTTGCCGCAAGTGTGACTTTCCAAGTTGTGTAGAAAGGTAAAGTCTTGTTTGTAGAGCTTGTGGGACGTTGGATCGGTATAATAAGGCTGTCGACGCGGCAGACCAGCATTCCACGAGCCAAGTATCAGTAGGCGTCGCGTATCTTGGGATATCCTGACATTCGTGGTGTCTCAGCTGCCCTTTGGTCGGTGGCGCCTCAGCTTGGCATTTATTGGAGGAAGCTGGAGCGTACTGAAATGATGGAAGAGACAGAGGCCCAGAATCGATGTCGAGGGAAGACTATCACATTGTAACAAGAATGGCAAGGGGCAGTCGCTTCTTTCTTTGGTTCCTTCTCTCCCATCGGCACGGTACCTGCGGACCTGCGTTATGCCAATTGCACTTGCCAAACATCAATCGGCAAGCAGCTGCGACGGCTTACCTTAGGTAGGCTTCCCTGTCTGGAAACGGATGAAAAAGAGGACAGGTTCGTCAACATGGGACGCCATGCTGATTCAGTGGCTTGGCTGCGCTATTGAATCTGTAACGCGGCCCCTACAGTTGTACCGGCCGCGACTGCCATTTTCTGCGTGCAATCTGCCGGTCCCCTAATTCCCCTTCCTGATAGAGTTTGGCTGGCTTGGTATCCTGAGTTTAACCCAAATGTTGCTGCCACCGCGGCTGTTCCAAACCAGCGGAGACAGATCCAGCGTGTACTGCGTACGGACGGGAGGGAGAAAGTTGTGACCAATGAGACGTCGTCCGTAGCTTCCAGCTTGGCACCCAGCTCTCGGCCCAAGCTTGAAATGAGAAAGGAAGTGTTGGTGGCGGACACTAGCCACACTCAGCTGTTCACCATGAACTGATCGAAGGATACTTGACTATTGTACTATGTACTTGGATCGTACCTGCACATTCCTTTCGATTGGCACGTAAGAAGACGGCGTGTTGTCTCGCGTATCAAAGCCTAGAAAAGGGACAGGAAGGGAGAGAAGCGGCACGCAGACTTGCGAGCAAAGCCTCCCTCGAATGCCCCCCGCACTTACATAGAGCTGGTTGAAAGCATGTAGGGCAATTTCACCACCCCTCAGCTCAATGGCAAGTATGGGAGACCGCACATTGCATTGGATGAAATGAAAGAAAGAAAGATCCTCAAGGGATGCACGCAAATCGCCGTGAATCGGCGTCGAAGTTAAGTGCGTATTTCACCAAACCATGTCTGATGTAAGGTATGTCTCGTCGCACCGATACCCGGCCGCCGGTATGTCAGGATGCTGCCGGCCATAACGGCTCGGTTTCAATCGACAGGTCTCCAGATTACCAGAAGCGGGTAGGGAGCGATTGGACGCGGGCCCAATGCGTTCGGGGGCAACGGCCGGAGCCCCGAAGGACCCCTACGGCGCCCTTCCGGACACGTGGACATATCCCGGCCCACGGCGTCACGGCGACAGCGATACTGGGGACTGTCCACGCGGCAGATGCAGTCCACATTCTTCCATGTTCCTGGTAGAAGTTACTCGGACCTGGCCGTAGCCAGTCCGGAGCCTCCAAGCTGCTCCGAGGAACGTAGGCCCACCGAACGGACGGGGCTGGGGGGCAGTGCTTCCATTGGAATTACGCGGATTCGAGAAGCTTAGGTCGCAGTGGGCAAGGCGGAGGTGAGTTTGGCGGTGTCCAGGACGCGTGGGACCCTCGTAACATTTGTCCACAGCACGAACAAACACGACGCAACGGAAGGGTGCCAGCGACTAGGATCCGGGACATTGACAGCCCGACCGGAGCGACGGCGTGCCGGGATGGGTATCGGTGTGCCGTAATAGCAAACCTGGCAAAGTCCTTCCAACCATCAGATCAGTGGGAGGCTGGGGGCCTAGGGCCATGGGCGCCATCCCCTGGCCCCGAGTAGGTACCCAAGGATTGTATGCTCCAACGGCATCAAACTTTGAGGGTGCTCTTGAGAGTTCACGCACCAAGTGATGGGGGCTTGAAGACTGGCAAAAGTAAGACTGGCGCACTGGATAGAAGGGAAGCTTCGGCGCCGGCTTGGGAAAAGCTGCTAAACCTGAATAGCTGTGCGGCTGAGCTTGCTGAGTTGGATCAGAGGACGGCGGCAAGTAGGGGTGCTCCCTGTCTGGCCTATTGCACGACCACGGGGCTTAGCATGGCTGCTGTGCTACGCCTCGCGACGGCTGGTTTCCATTCAGTGAGATATTGTGGGAACAAGATTATCTCGCGTAGGGTTAGTAGGGTACGAGGCATGGCTCGGAACGAGAGGTCTCCCTCACCCAACTGTCTGCAGATGGCGTCCTCGGGTTCAAGTCTTGATGTATCTCGCAGGTAGTCGTACGAGGATGGGATTGCAGGTACAGCTGTGGCATCGGTCGGTCTCCCAGCTGGTGCTCTCGAGACGGGAAAAGATTGACGTGAGCAAGGCTTTTTGCTTCTTTGGCAGCGAGAGCGAAGAAGGGGTGAGGCCTCTTGCATCTGCATCAATATTCTGTAAGGTCGAGCGCTAAGCGGAATGCTGACGTATCTAGAGAATTCGAACACGAATGTCTCGTTGGAAACTGAAAGCCCAGTTCACTGTGCAGCCATACATCTTGAGCGCTTCCGTGAGGAACATACTGTGTAAAGGGACAAGGAGGGCGAGGGCAAGGGAAGACTTTGGATGGCAATGACTATCTATCTTATCTTAGTAACGGAAGGTGCCTTTCGATGTTCTTACTTCCTGCCATTTGGCAAGGCGGGAGGGAAATTGGCAGGAACCCAAGCTTCTCAAGTGCTGACGAACCCAAGGTCCCTTCTTACCTTACCGTACGTGCCTACCTACCTTACTTCTTGCTTCCTTGACCTGGCGGGGTACCTTAGCCACAAGAGAAAGAAGGACCAGGAAAGAGAGGGGAAACGCGAGATGCTTGCCTATCTACGAGGTAGGTTTCCGTAGGCTACCTTAAGGCTTCCCCTAGTTACAGTTCCACCACCCACCCCCACGTTCCTCCCCAGATACGATTACCAGGACAAAGGAAAGAGCCGTGGGTTCGCGATTGATCCGACGTACCTTACCTTCGAGCGCTTCTGGGCCAGATTCACCAAGGAAAGGGAAGTAGACTGGCAAAGAAAATGGCAGCACTTTTCGATCTCTTAACTGATGCCTCCGATTCCCGAGTTGTCATGACCCAGCCCGAAGGAAAAGCTACCGGCCAGACAAGGTCTTACAGACGGCGAGCTGCAGGTGCGGATGCCTCCCCGGCGTCAAGGGTACATCATGTACCTCGAGGTACTTGGTGCTGCGTATGGAGTACCCGTACGGAGTACACTCAATTCCCAAAGTCCTACGTCAAAAGTCCTACCACTAGGTAGGTATGTAGGTCCAGTCAGACTCATCCCTTCCATTGAATCCTGGCCCTGAGACGCCTTGCTCGTCTGCTTCTCTAGTTTCTACTAGGCCCCTCAATAATTCTCAGGGTTCGAAGAGCCAGTATCCAGAGACACAATCCCTCATTGCTCGTCATAGGTTCCATGGCACTATGATCATTGGGCGTTGATAGTGCTCGTGTTCCTATACAGATACAGATAAGGCGAGCTGTGCCCCATGACGCTTCCATAAAGTCCTTGACTGACTTTGGCCACAGACATCCGATGGTTGACACCTGAAGCCCTGGAGTTCCTGCAAAAGGACTCAGCCAAACATGAATAGATGTTGCCGGATTTCTGGGTCCCAACTCCCCGCAGCGAGGTATCGTCGCAGACCGACGATTAAGTCCATACCCTGTCTTAGTTGTCCCATTTCCCAACGCCTAGCAGATTCGCAACCACGCATCGGGAATCCCGTCCCCAGTTTTCTCCACGAAAGTCACATCAGCATGTTCCCTGCCCTAACAGCTGGCGCTGGCTCGTCAGAGCGTGTCAGCTGTCAGACACCTCTAACGGGAACAGCAGGGCTAAGGTAATTCATTGTTTATTCCTTTGCAGGCACCAAGATTGCGGTCGACTGACTGTCCTTGATGCCAGGTCTTCCCACGGGCCGTTTCAGTGTGATCGCTTGCGTCCTTCATCATCAAGGTACAGCAAGTATCCGCCCGGGGTTGAGACATTGATATCCAGCTGGAGCTTCGCCGTCAACCTTGTCATGTCTTGTCATTCTACGGGGGTGGGGATGGGCAGACAAAAAACCCCGACAGACGTCGTCCAATGTTTTGGGGTTCTTTGAGTCTCTGACACGGACACCAGCGAGAAACCAGTCTCGAGAGGCCTCGTGTAGATGGCTACGGCCCCCTCCTCCGCCCGGGTCCCAGACGTTGACAACGGCGACGGAAGACGGGACGAAACCCGTCGGTGATCTGATCTGGCCGCAGACGAGACGAAAGCTGGGCCAGTCAAGCACTCCAAGGAAGGTATCCTATTCAGCCAGGTATCGCACGATGCTTTGTGTGCTGAGATGCAAGTAGTGTGTGTTCTGTACCACTTGGAGGTGGGAAAGTCCTGCAATACATGTTCGTCGTACATGGATGGATACGTTGGAGGTACACACAGAGCCCAACTCGGTACTTTGTGTGTTCCTTGCACACTTGCGAGGTGAGCTCTTAGGAAGTACACATGGGGCTCCAGTGCTCTGCAGCCAGTCTGAACCGGCGCAGTCCAATCCAGAGGCAGCATTTGGGGCCATTGGGCGCCCTCTCAGCCTTACACTGCCCAGAAAGCGACCCGAGGGGGGGTTCCTCCACCTAGCGCACCCGCAGCTCGTTTTAGTGCCATCAGCTGGCTGGCGGGAGTATTCGTGGGTACCTTAGCAATAGCATCGCCGGACCACCGTCTGGCTGAGGATCCCGGTCGATGTCACTTTCGCAGTTGATGGCAGCAGAGAGTGACATGTGTGGTCGGAAGGGTTCCCCACTCCAGGTACACAGTTGACAGTCATCGCACAGGACTTCCTTTCGCACCTCACCTCAAGGTTTCCTTCCATGTTGGATGCGCCAAAACGGGGGGCACAGGGCAGCAAGCAAGCAAGCAAGCAAGCAAGCAAGCAAGCAAGCACTCGTTGGAACATGGGCTGGGACCAAGGAAAGTGTGAGGGCGAGGGCGAGGGCGAGGGCAAACGGGGTGGTCCTTTGAAGCAAAGCGAGACCGTAAAACAGAACGAAACGAGACGAGACAATTCAATTTGGCCAGCAGAAGGACTAAGAAACAGCTAGCTTTTTGTATCCGTACGGATAGATGGGCAGGCAGGATATCCAAGACCATACTCGAGTACCCTTGAATAAGACCAAAACAATGTACTCCTCAACAGGTTGGCCTATCAGTCTTGATTCCTTGACCAGAGAGAAGCTGAATACCTAGCACAACGAACAGCAGCAGGCTATGGCTTCTCTCCCTCTCATGGTGGCTTCATCTTGTTTACCTTACCTTACCTTACCTTAGTGCACCAGTGTGTGCTACCTTCTGCTCGTGTTGCTCTTACGGATTCCATACCTGGACACCCGACCCCGCGTCCAGCCGCCCAGCCCACCTTTGCGTGAGCCTCTTTCTCCTCCAGGTTGTCTCTACCTAGGTACCTAGCGACGAAGGAAGGAAGCGTCTCGTACCGCCCATGGTCGCTTTCCCTCGTCGCCCTCCTCTGCATGCCTAGCCCGCCTTCCTGCCTGCTTGCTTCATCCACAGCTCATCGTCACCGTTTCCGACTTCCGAATCTCACCTTCTTCGACATTTTCAACTCATCGTCTTTCACTGCAGCACTTTGCACCCTTGTTTTCGTCTTCCTCAATACACCGTCAGCAAGCAACGCATGCTTACCGTCCCGCACCTGAGCTACATCAAGGTCTCATCTACGCCAGACAGCTTTCCTTTCTCACCAAGGCAGAGTAAGCGAGCGAAGGGCTGAAAAGGTACCTATCCGTAAGTATCCATTCACCTGTATCCGTACATTTTGTTGCTTTCCCGGGTGCCTCACAATTGCAAGTCCTCCTGCTCCTGTTGCTTGTCGTCGTCTTGGCCAAAAGAAAGAGACAGAAGAGCTCCCATCTTAATCCACCAACCCAATTCACCATCCCCGTCGTCCATCAGAACTTACCTTACCTTACCTTGTTGAATCCTCTCACATCTGCTCGCATTCACTCATACGCAGTCTCTCTTCACCTGGTCCCGCACTCTCCCACACGCTCTCTCACAATCAATCCCCTTCGCTTTCTTTCTCTCTGCCCATTGCCGTGTGCCCTCTGCTATACTACATTACGAATACCTACCTTACTGTTGCTGCTGCTCCTTCCGTTGCACCGCTCTGTACGGAGTAGGTACGGCACACCTCAACCCGCATCATCCCAGAAACGGCGGATTCATTCAAGCGCCCACGGTGGTCCACGGTCCACGAAGGACGGCCCACGCTGCACGCTCCACCCCCTCCACCCCCCCATTCCCAGCAAGCACCGCATTCTATTTTCTCACTCCTTCCCACTTCTTTTTTTTTCTCCCCCTTCGCCTTCCCGTCTTTCGTCTTCGTTCTCGTCCTGTCAAGCTCTGAGCCCCGTTGCAGCAAGCAGCAGCAGCAGCAGACCCAGCAGGCCCAGCAGCTGTGTGTGTGTGAGAGAGAAAGAGTCCTAGGATTTCTGGTCCCTTTCCCAGACCTGCAGAAAAAGGTTCTTAGCCAAGTCCTAAAAAGGGTTCTTGACTTTTTCTCTGCTGACCTAAGAACCGTGACTTGACCTGCGTCTGACTTGAAAGTTGACCGGGACGGACCACCACTGCCTACTACCAAAAAATCACCACCCACCCCCTCCCCCTCCTCCTCTTCACTCCCCCCAACCCCGACACCCCAGCCCAAAAGTCCAAGCCCAAGCCCAGCAGCCGCAGCAACAAGTCCTAAAAGTCTAAGCCCAGGCCATCCAATCCATCATCCCGCCGATTATTACTCGAGTACGACCAAGAGCACCACCACCACCACCACCACTACCACCACCACCACCGCTCCTCTCTGCTGCTCTGCTCTGCTCTGCTCTGCTGCACCGCACCACGCACCCGCACCCGCACGGCTGCCGACGCCCTGCAACCCAAATCGATATACCCTCTGCTGGTCCTGCCCACCTTGGGCCCTCGCTTTTCTCCCTCTTCTCCTCCCCGACTCAGTAATCCCATATGAGCTTTTCCAACTCCCGCCTGAAAGGCTTTGGTTTCGGCAAACGCAAGTCAACTGCTAGTATCCAGACACCCGATCCGAACCAAACCCCAAGCCCGACCCCTCCTCCTCAGGGTGGTCACCCCTCCGGTGCCCCTCAAATACCGCAACAGATTCCCGTCCGCCCAGGCTCCATTGCCTCGACCTCTTCCGCTTCAATCGCTCCCATGAATCAACACCCAGGCGCCGGTAACCGGCCTCCGAGCTACTCGGCCAACTTTCCTCAAGGCGGTCCTCCTCCCATGGGTCGCACCAGCCCCATGACGGGTCAAGGTCCGGCTCGCACCCCGCCTTCGCAGATGGTTGGCGGTCCTCCTCCCATCAACACTGGTGCTCCCGTCGCCGGTTACCCCCCTCAGCTTCCTCCCATCGGCGGTCAGGGACACCCCATGGGCGGTCCTCCTCAGTACGGCGGCGGCGGCGGCGGCGGTGGCTATCCTCCCCCGGGTCCTCCTCAAGGTGGGCCCATGGCACAGTACCAGCGAGGCGGCAGCGCGGCCGAGGTGGAAGGCAACAGCAGGAGTAAGGCTCAGCTGATTGTCGGTATCGATTTCGTACGTGGACTCTTGGGATCAAGACAATGTTTGTCATATGCCGCGTTGCTGACATGACCCACAGGGTACGACTTTCTCCGGTGTGGCGTTTGCTTTTGCGACAAACAACGAAGCCAAGGAAGACATTATAACAGAATGGCCTGGCGCTGGTTCATACACGAAGCAAAAGGTAGGAAGAACTTAGGGGTCCCCAGACATAGACAAAGCGTGATGCGTTTTGCTCTTGTACTTTGCTGACGCTCTTTTGTCTCTCTAGATCCCCACGGTTCTCTACTACGATCAGTACCAGAAGGTTGTTGGCTGGGGTCCCGACATCGCCGACGCCCTCGCCCCTACTGGATACCCAAAGCCCGGCGTGCAAAAGGTCGAGTGGTTCAAGCTGCAGCTCATGCTGTCCGGCAACACATATATCGACCCCATCAACTTGCCTCCTCTGCCTCCTGGAAAGTCCGAAATCGATGTTGCGGCCGACTATCTTTTCAAGCTCCGCCAGGCTATGCGCTCGGCTCTGCAAAAGACTCTCGGTGAAGTATTCAACCGTGAGGAGCGGAACATTCGTTACTATCTCACCGTCCCTGCCATTTGGAACGATGCAGGAAAGGCCGCCACCAGAGCTGCTGCTATCCAGGCCGGTTTCCTGAGAGACGAAAACGACAACCGGCTGACGCTAGTTTCCGAGCCCGAAGCTGCTGCTATTTTCTGTTCCAAGACGGGACTCTTGAACCTCAAGGTCCACGACGCCGTGCTGATTGTCGATTGTGGCGGTGGTACTGTCGATTTGATCGCGTACGAAGTCGAGGAGGAGAACCCCTTCACCGTTGCCGAGTGCACGGCAGGATCTGGTGATTCTTGCGGTTCAACAGCGCTGAATCGCAACTTCAGCAACATCCTCCGCACCAAGATTCGCAAGATGAAGCTGCCCGACGGATCCAAGACGGCCGGCCGCGTGTACGCCAAGTGCATCATGGACTTTGAGAACCGTATCAAGGCCGATTTCCGCAACAACGGCCAGAAGTGGGCTGTCGACGTTGGTATCGAGGCCGAGTTCCCCGAGGCCGGCATCGAGGAGGGCTACATGACGTTCACCAACGAGGAGATTCTGCAGTGCTTCGAGCCCGTTGTTAACCGCATTCTCGAACTCGTCAGAAACCAGATCATTGCCATCCAGGCCCAGAACCGGACGTTGCAAAACATTCTCGTTGTTGGTGGATTCGGTGCCTCCGAGTACCTCTTCCAGCAGATCAAGCTCCACGTTCCTCCCCAGTTCCAGTCCAAGGTCGTCCGTCCCATGGACTCCGTGGCCGCTATCGTCAAGGGTGCTGTTACTGCCGGCATCACCGAGCGCGTCGTCACACACCGTGTTGCCCGTCGTCACTACCTCATGGCCACCTTGCAGCCCTTTAAGGAAGGATACCATCCCGAGGCCTACCGTGTGCCATCCCTCGATGGCAAGGACCGCTGCAAGTTCACCCGTCAAATCTTTGTGCAAAAGGGTCAAAAGGTCAAGATTGGCGAGCCTGTCAAGGTCTCGTTCTTCCGTCAAGTTGCACCAGGTGCGACGCTCATGTACGAGGACATTCTGTACGCCTGCGATGATGATGTTTGCCCTGAGTATACTAAGGATCCTCGTAAGTTCAATAATGGATTTTCACAATTGACCATTGCTAATCTCGGACACAGGCATCAAGGAAGTTGTCACCCTGACTTCGGACCTGTCGCGGAAGAACCTAGAGAAGGACTTTGAGAGAATGGACACACCACAGGGCACATTTTACCGTGTCTACTTTGACATTTACCTGACGCTCGACGGATCCGAATTCAGCGCAGAGCTGGTGTGCCAAGGCGAGGTCATGGGCCGCTGCAGAGCGCGCTTCAGGTAAAGACGGTGTCGGAAGAAAGAGGGGAGAGAGAGGGGGAGAGGGGGGAGAGCGAGAGACTGATAATGTTTGCTTGCTTGCATTGGGCATTTCGTTTCCATACACTCGGATGATACCTCGAAAAGGTGATGGGGCCCAGAAGGACAGCCCCGAGGCTGATAATGGCCGAGAGTACATATCACGAAGAGACCTCCCAGAACAGATGACTGGAAGACGAGGATTGGATTTTGGAGGTTTTTATGACGCGGAAGGATTATGGCCTATTGTCAAGTGTTGTAGACGCACGACACTCCCCGCTTGGGAGAAATCAAGATTTTTTTCAAAAGACTACAGTTTCCTGACGGGGTTGTAGGGAGATCCACCCAAG